GGGCTGGTCCCCTCCCACACTTGGCCCATGCAGCCCTCCGGGGCCGGTGGCCCCACTTGGTGGACCCCCGGGACCCTCCTGGTAGTCCCGGTACGTTACCGATAAAACCCGAAACTTTTTCGGTGGCCAAAACAAGACTTCCCATATATAAATCTTTACCTCCGGACCATTCCGGAACTCCTCGTGACGTCTGGGATCTCATCCGGGACTCCGAACAACATTTGGTAACCACATACAAACTTCCTTTATAACCCTAGCGTCACCGAACCTTAAGTGTGTAGACCCTACGGGTTCGGGAACCATGGAGACATGACCGAGACGTCCTCCGGTCAATAACCAACAGCGGGATCTGGATACCCATGTTGGTTCCCACATGTTCCACGATGATCTCATCGGATGAACCACGATGTCGAGGATTCGATCAATCCCGTATACAATTCCCTTTGTCTAGCGGTATTGTACTTGCCCGAGATTCGATCGTCGGTATCCCGATACCTTGTTCAATCTCGTTACCGGCAAGTCTCTTTACTCGTTCCATAACACATCATCCCATGATCAACTCCTTGATCACATTGTGCACATTATGATGATGTCCTACCGAGTGGGCCCAGAGATACCTCTCCGTCACACGGAGTGACAAATCCCAGTCTTGATTCGTGCCAACCCAACAGACACTTTCGGAGATACCCGTAGTGCACCTTTATAGCCACCCAGTTATGTTGTGACGTTTGGCACACCCAAAATATTCCTACGGTATCCGGGAGTTGCACAATCTCATGGTCTAAGGAAATGATACTTGACATTAGAAAAGCTTTAGCATGCGAACTACATGATCTCGTGCTATGCTTAGGATTGGGTCTTGTCCATCACATCATTCTTCTAATGATGTGATCCCGTTATCAATGACATCCAATGTCCATGGTCAGGAAACCGTAACCATCTATTGATCAACGAGCTAGTCAACTAGAGGCTTACTAGGGACATGGTGTTGTCTATGTATCCACACATGTATCTGAGTTTCCTATCAATACAATTCTAGCATGGATAATAAACGATTATCATGAACAAGGAAATATAATAATAACTAATTTATTATTGCCTCTAGGGCATATTTCCAACAGTCTTCCGGTGAGCCTCACACACCTTTCCATGAAGATGCCGTTGAAGATCTTGCCAACACCGTTCGAGTTTCACGTGGTGCGGTGCGCGACAATGAGGAGGAGGAAGAATCATCTTCGGAGGAGGAAGAATTGTCTTCCGAAGATGAGGACGAAGACGAGGACGAGGCTTGATGTGTCTTTCGTTTGTGTCATGAACTTGGTTTGCATTTTGAACTTGGTTGGATGAACTTGTTGTCATGATTTTGAACTTGTGGGCATGAACTTTTATTCATCAACTTGTTTATGTGAAATTTATATGTCATGTTCATTGTATTTTCAATGTTTGAAATTCATTTTGTGTCCAAAATACAACATATGGCAATGCCCCGGTGAGTCATGCGCGCTGCATTTTAGCGCGGCCGTTGGAGCCAGCGCTGCCGACCGCACAAAACCAGGCGAAGGGCGCGCGGGAAAGTGGTTTTTAGTGCGCGGCGCATTAGTCGGCTGTTGGAGATGCTCTAACCGATGTTACTTCAATGATTTATAGTGTACCGTGTTGAAAAAAACATAAGCCCCTTTACTCTTCCCCCTAACCCAGCTATCCCATTTCACCCCTTATAAAAAATCCTATCCTTTTTCGCCATGTAATAAATTGTAAAAATGCACTCACATAGGTTGTAATCTTTTTTTTTTCTAACTTAAGGTGACTGGACCGTGGTGATGCACTGCAATTCTGTACTGCATGAGGGTGATACTCCAACCGACGCTACTTCGATGATTTATAGATCTCGCCTCAAGGAGCGAGCGACTGTTGCAACCTTCAAAGTCTGGTATGACGAGAGCGTTTGTATATGTCTATTTTCTTTACATACAATCTTCAATCTCTTTTGGCTGGCGTAAGACTGAAGGAAGTAGAACACTAGTACTCCCTTCGTAAATTAATATAAAAGCATTTAGATCATTACTATACAGAGGAGTATGATTTTCTAGTTGTTCCACGTCCAGTTGTTTGTGCGTTGGACCGACTTTTGTTTGCCCCTTTGATTTTGTTGCTGTTGTAAAAGGCTCACCGCCTGCCTGCCACCGGTTTACCCACCTACCATCTTTCATTGCTACGTACTCCTCTCATCTTCAACCTTCCGTTTCCGTTCCTTGTTGGTTTCTTGGTTTCTTCCACCACCTTCCCTTCCCCCACTGTCCCTTGCGTGACACGTGGGAAGCCACCACCTCTATCCATTTCGGGTTCGGACGATTCATCTCGTCACACTCCCTCCCTCTCCCGCACAAAAACAAAGACCATACATTCATGTAAATAATACTAAATCCTGGAAAGAAGAAGCAGCAGAGGAGCAGAGGAGGAGGGTCCAGAAGAGTAGTTGGCGGTGGGAAGATCGATCCAGAGGCTGCGCACTGCCTGCCCGCCTCCATGGCCATGGCCAGCAGGCAGGAGGGGAGCCTCGACGCCGTGCTCAAGGAGGCCGTCGACCTGGTAATTAACCAGTCAGTCCATTAACCAACGCCCTGCTCTTGGGGTGGCGCTTCCTGCTCTTGGGATGTGGATGGGTTGCCGTTGCGCGCAGCTGGGCTTTTTTACCGGGGCTTAGTTGTGTTCTTCTAGTTCTAGGTCAATTCTTGTTCGGCATCGCCTTTTGTTTTGTTACTACTGTAATCACCACCTTCTAGGTCTGCTCTGTTTTGTTGCTGACAGAGGATCCCCTGCCTTGAAGGTTCACTTGCATTAGTTTCTGATTTCGGAATCTCGCACTAGAACTTTTGATTGTTTTTTGCGTGCCGTGTAGGAGGGCTGCCTGTAAATGTATTTACTCTAGCTTTGCTGTAATATTATTTTGCAATCTTTTTTTTTTGTTCTAACTTAAGGAGGTGACTTGACCGTGGGAAAAAGTGTGTACTCATGATCCTCTGTTTAATTGGAAGAAAGAAAAGTCTCTTGGTTCTCTCTCTTATGGGTTCCTTGGAGTAGTACGCTGCAGCATACGTGCACGTTCACATTTTGCTCATGCTAATGGTACTTGCTTGGATTGCTAAAAGCGATCGTCGTAAAAAAAATTCAGGAGCACATCCCGATCGATGAAGTGTTTGAGAACCTTCGGTGCAGCCATGAGGGGCTCACTTCCGAGCAGGCGCAGCAGCGGCTGCAGATCTTCGGCCCGAACAAGCTCGAGGAGAAGGAGGTCAGGTTCATTCAGCACATTTTATTGTTGGGAAAGATTTTGTCCTTCCTGTTCTTGAGAGCAGTAATGTTCTTCTCATTGATGTTATGCACTTGATTAAGTTGGAGCGTTTGATGGCTGCAGGAGAGCAAGTTCCTCAAGTTTCTGGGGTTCATGTGGAACCCACTCTCATGGGTCATGGAGGCTGCGGCGATCATGGCCATCGCGTTGGCCAACGGAGGGGTAAGACCTAACACATACTCGCTCCATCCCAAAATAAGTGTCTCAACTTTAGTAACTTCAATACAACTTTATACTAAAGTTAGTACAAAGTTGAGACACTTATTTTTGGGACTGAATATATAGCAGAATTTGTGGTAATGTTTTAGTTAGGTGCTGAGTGGACTGTATGTCTTAGTTAGGTGCTCAGTGGAGTGTATGTCTTGCTCTGTTCTCAACATGTGAGATGTGTGTTCTGTAATCAGGGGAAGCCGCCAGATTGGCAAGACTTTGTCGGTATCATCACGCTGCTACTTATAAACTCCACCATCAGTTTCATAGAGGAGAACAATGCCGGAAATGCCGCCGCCGCGCTTATGGCCCGCCTTGCACCAAAAGCCAAGGTCCATACTCAACTTATTTTCTGGGTTTCTTTTTGCCCTGTTTCTGCATGTACATATCACCTTGTTGGAGTCCATTTTAACTTTTGAAACTCAATTCTTATGTTGCTGGATAGGTTCTCCGTGACGGTCGTTGGACCGAGGAGGAGGCAGCCGTCCTTGTGCCTGGGGACATCATCAGCATCAAACTTGGAGATATCATTCCTGCCGACGCACGCCTCCTAGACGGCGACCCTTTGAAGATTGATCAGGTTCTTCCTGTCATTCACATTCAAGTTACCTTCATCTTTGCTTTTAAGTTAAATAGGTTTCCACATCTCACTGTTCAGTCTTTTGTTTATAGTCCGCCCTGACCGGAGAATCACTGCCAGCCACCAAAGGCCTTGGTGACGGCGTCTACTCTGGTTCGACGGTCAAGCAGGGCGAGATCGAGGCTGTTGTCATAGCAACTGGTGTGCACACTTTCTTTGGAAAGGCCGCACATCTCGTTGACTCCACTAACCAAGTTGGCCATTTCCAGCAGGCAAGCTTGACAAGCCTCGGATGCTTCCATCGATCTGGCACCGTTATCAAATAATTGAATCATCGCTACATTGATGTGTTCATTATCATGCGATTCACGCAGGTGTTAACAGCCATCGGGAACTTTTGTATTTGCTCGATCGCCGTGGGAATGTTCATCGAGATCATTGTCATGTATCCTATCCAGCACAGGGCGTACCGCCCTGGGATCGACAACCTTTTGGTGCTCCTCATTGGAGGCATTCCCATAGCGATGCCCACAGTCTTGTCGGTCACCATGGCGATTGGGTCTCATCGCTTGTCTCAACAGGTTTGCATCATTCCGGGGACAGTGTTAACCATATTGTGACCAGACCTGAACTTTTTCACTATGGAATCAATTCCTGAGTTTTCTTCCTGCAGGGAGCTATAACAAAGCGAATGACTGCAATTGAAGAGATGGCCGGCATGGATGTTCTTTGCAGTGATAAAACTGGAACCCTGACTCTAAATAAGCTCAGTGTGGACAAGAACCTAATCGAGGTTACACCCACTTTGTGTTATCTGACATGTAACATCAAAGCACTTACATACTTTCTTGGTACAGGTTTTTGAAAAAGGAGTGACTCAAGACCAGGTAATTCTGATGGCTGCTAGAGCATCCCGGATAGAAAATCAAGATGCCATTGATACAGCAATAGTTGGGATGCTAGGCGATCCAAAAGAGGTACATTGATTTGTCCAATAATGAGACGTACAACTATCATGTTTATTTGCTAAAATGGACACCTGTTAACGCTTCCCGTAGGCGCGTGCTGGTATTCAAGAGGTTCATTTTCTGCCGTTCAATCCTACCGACAAAAGAACTGCCTTGACATACATCGATGGTGATGGAAAGATGTGTCGTGTTAGCAAAGGTGCACCAGAGCAGGTATAATCTTTTTTTACTGCAAAAAGCTTAAAAAACATTTGCATAATGATGTAGATTGATTTCAGAAAATGACCTGCAGATTCTCAACCTGGCCCACAACAAGTCAGAGATCGCACAAAAAGTCCACACTGTCATCGACAAGTTCGCGGAACGTGGACTTCGGTCACTTGGTGTAGCATATCAGGTGAGAAAGGTTCTGGGGGTGCCCCTTCACAGTGCAGTTGAAGCTTGCAAGGCAGGACCTTAGTGGTCGTCATTCTTTTCTGCCTTGTAGGACGTGCCAGACGGGAGGAAAGAGAGCCCGGGTAGCCCGTGGCATTTTGTTGCTCTCTTGCCACTCTTTGATCCACCGAGGCACGACAGCGCAGAAACAATTCAAAGGGCACTTAACCTTGGTGTGAATGTGAAGATGATCACAGGTACACTGCCAATTGGGTTGTTACTACTTTTTTGCTCTGTTCTTAAATATCCAATTCGATGAAGATGATCACAAGTAAATGCACTACCGGTTGAATTCTATTTCATTCTCTTCTCTCTATTCTTAAATCTCCCAATTTTTATGAGCACCATGTCTTTGATGTTTACTATTCTTTATTTGTGACGTCATGTAAGTATCTCTTAAAAAGCTGTGCCATAAGTAGAGTTGGAACATTGAACAATATGTTGTATCTTATCTTGTTTTATTTATAATTTCAGTTTCAATAATTTTGGTAATACATCTTATTGTGCTTTTTTTTTTCCTTAGGCGACCAGCTCGCGATTGGGAAGGAAACAGGGCGTCGTCTAGGAATGGGTACAAACATGTACCCTTCATCTGCTTTGCTGGGGCAGAACAAGGATGAGTCTATTGCTGATTTACCAGTCGATGATCTAATTGAGAAAGCCGATGGTTTTGCTGGCGTATTCCCAGGTATGTGCTGTAATCAGTTAGAAGAAAATAAAATCAAAGAAATGAAAAAGGGACATAACAATAATATGGTAACATTTTTTCTTTGCTCAGAACACAAATATGAGATTGTGAAACGCCTACAAGCACGGAAGCACATTTGTGGAATGACTGGCGATGGCGTAAACGATGCACCAGCCCTAAAGAAAGCTGATATTGGTATAGCGGTTGCCGATGCGACAGATGCAGCGAGGAGTGCTTCTGATATCGTACTCACCGAACCTGGTCTAAGTGTGATCATTAGTGCCGTCCTTACCAGTCGAGCGATTTTCCAGCGGATGAAGAACTACACTGTATGTGAGATTGAACCCAGTGGATGAGATTTTTTCTTTCCCCCAAAAAATATTTGAAGAGTTGCTCCTTCATTTATGCTTGTGTTATTTAGCCCATATGCTAATCAATCCACATTCATGCTTGCAGATCTATGCGGTCTCAATTACAATACGTATTGTGGTATGTTTGATTGACTCTTACTAGGATCATAATTTTGCCAAAGTGCATTGGCTCATGCTCTGTTTACATAGCTGATGATTCTCTTAGGTGTCAATTATAACTATTCATTTAATGAGCTCTTTTCCTGTTAACACTGATTTTCCAGTTTATGATCTGTGAAATTATGTCCATGAACCTTACATTTTTTATTCTGTGATTATGCATCTGATCCCTCTTTATCCCCAACAGCTTGGATTTATGCTACTTGCCCTCATATGGGAATTTGATTTCCCGCCATTTATGGTCCTGATCATAGCAATTCTGAATGATGGTACATTACTTTATTTTCCTTCCATTCCTCCTGCGCCTCACAATATCGCCATAATGTTCACCCTTAACCATTTTGTGGCATGAAAAGGTACCATAATGACAATATCCAAGGATCGAGTAAAGCCTTCTCCACTACCTGACAGCTGGAAGTTGGCTGAAATTTTCACAACAGGGGTGGTTCTTGGCGGATACTTGGCAATGATGACTGTCATTTTCTTCTGGGCTGCATACAAGACTAACTTTTTCCCTGTAAGGAGTACCTAAATGAAACTGAATTCTGTTTTTTTTCTGAAACATTGATTTCAGATAATGAACTAACCTCGTGATATGTGGTTCACCAAGCTACCAACTAATAGGACCATTATACTAGTTTGTGATCTGATCCTCAGACATGCATTGACACTTGTTCAATAAATTTTCAGAGGGTCTTCCATGTAAAAAGCCTTGAGAAGACCACTCAAGATGACTTCAAAATGCTTGCCTCTGCTGTATACCTTCAAGTCAGCACCATCAGCCAAGCTCTCATCTTCGTTACAAGGTCTCGAAGCTGGTCGTTCGTCGAGCGCCCCGGCTTTCTCCTGGTCTTCGCTTTCTTCGTCGCACAGCTGGTATTTTTTTTCCTCACGGCCTCGCCCTCCTCTCTTTGCTTTACATGTATGTAAATTTACAAGTCAAGTTCCAGTAGCAAGTTTCACCACCCCCTTCAAAAAATGCAGATAGCTACACTGATCGCTGTATACGCTGACTGGGGATTCACTTCGATCAAAGGCATCGGATGGGGCTGGGCTGGCATCGTGTGGCTCTACAACATCGTCTTCTACTTCCCGCTTGACATCATCAAGTTCTTCATCCGATACGCTCTGAGCGGCAAAGCATGGGATCTTGTCATTGACCAAAGAGTAATTAATTCAAATTGCACCACCATATTTTCCCTCCTCTTTTTTTTATTGAGAACCCACTACATTCGATGCATCTTGTAAATGATGGTTCATTTGTCCTTTTTCTTTATAGATCGCGTTTACAAGGAAGAAGCACTTTGGCAAGGAAGAGAGGGAGCTCAAGTGGGCCCATGCACAAAGGACGCTCCATGGGCTGCAGCCACCGGATGCCAAGCTGTTCCCTGAGAAGGCGGCCTACAACGAGCTCAGTCAGATGGCCGAGGAGGCGAAACGGAGGGCCGAGATTGCAAGGTATGTAGGGCTAGATACCCAGCAGGCACTTGCAAATTAGAGAATCCCATCTTCCATATTTTTTGACAACTACTCCCTATGTTAGCTTAAAAATCGCTCTTATATTATGAGGCGGAGGGAGTATGAATCTAACTATGTGCTTGTTGATTGTACATGGCAGGCTCAGGGAGCTCCACACTCTCAAGGGGCATGTGGAGTCAGTTGTGAAGCTGAAGGGCCTCGACATCGGCACCATTCAGCAATCTTACACCGTGTGATAGATTTTTTTTTTCGAAAAAGGGGGACTCCTCGGCCTTTGCATCAGAACGATGCATACGGCCAATTTTATAAATAAACAAATAGGTTCAACAAGGTCTAAAAGTCTGAAACAAAAGTAACGTCAAGCTCATAAAGAGCCAAAGAGCCAACGAGGAGCTAAAGGTAGAACAAATATTTCTTCAAGTTTTATCGACCACCGATACAACTCTACGCACGCTTGACGTTCGCTTTACCTAGAACAAGTATGAAACTAGAAGTACTTTGTAGGTGTTGTTGGATAGGTTTGCAAGATAATAAAGAGTACGTAAATAAAAAATAGGAGCTCTTTAGATAAAGAAATAATAAAGTAAATACAGCGAGTGTGAAAAAGTGGTGGTAGGAGTTGCGAAATTGCCCCTAAACAATTGACTACTTTACTAGACCGATAGCAAGTATTATGTGGGAGAGGCCGCTGCTAGCATGTCATCCCTGACTTGGAATTCTATGCACTTATGATTGGAACTATTAGCAAGCATCCGCAACTACTAATGTTCATTAAGGTAAAACCCAACCATAGCATTAAGATATATTGGTCCCGCTTCAATACCGTATGCATCAATTTCTATGCTAGGTTGAAGCTTCTGTCACTCTTGCCCTCCAATACATAGTCCTACCAACATACAACTAACCCTAGGGTGTGATCCACGCGCGCAATCATATGATGGGCACCAAAGGACAACAACATAACCACAAGCAAATTAAATCAATCATAGTAATTCATCAACCACCGATAGGACAACGAAAATCTATTCAGACATCATAGGATGGCAACACATCATTGGATAATAATATGAAGCATAAAGCATCATGTTCAAGTAGAGGGTACATCGGGTTGCGGGAGAGTGGACCGCTGTAGATAGAGGGGGGAAGGTGATGGAGATGTTGGTGAAGATGACAGAGGTGTTGGTGTAGATTGCGGATGATGGCCCCCGGTGGCACTGTGGTGCCACCGGAAGCGAGGGGGAGAGAGGGCCCCTTCGTCTTCTTCTTCCTTGACCTCCTCCCTAGATGGGAGAAGGATTTCCCCTCTAGTCCTTGGCCTTCATAGCATGGGAGGAGCGAGAGCCCCTCCGAGATTGGATTTGTCTCTCTCTGTTTCTGCGTTGCCAGATTCTTCCCTTTCACCGTTTCTTATATTACCGGAGATCCGTAACTTCGATTGGGCTGAAATTTTGACATGATCTCTATCCGAAAATTAGCTTTCCTGCGG